CATGTCGGCGCTGATCACAGCGCTGGTGAGCCCGTTGCTGACCATGGTTGTCAAGCCGGCCCGCCGCCTCGTCTTCTACAAGCGGCGCACCGTGGCGTGGCCGCAGCCGGACGCCGAGCTCCGCGTGCTCGCTTGCGTGCACGTGCCCCGCGACGCCCCCGCGGCCATCACGCTTGTCGACGTCCTGTGGCCCTCGCGGCGCTCACCTATCGCCGTGCACGCCCTTCACCTCATCGAGTTTGCCGGTCGCGCCTCGGCTCTCCTCTTGATCAACGCCGCTGCCCCGGCCGCCTCTTCCTCTGAGTTCTCGGACCAGGGCCGGAGCCACGTGGAGATGCAGTTCAAGCACATCGCCCACGCCTTCATGGCTTACGCGGAGAACCACGCGCCAGGCGGCGTCTTGGCGCGCACCATGGCCGCCGTGTCGCCGTACGCGTCCATGCACGAGGATATCACCGCCGCCGCCGAGGACCAGCACTCGGCGCTCATCGTGCTCCCGTTCCACAAGCACCGGTCGGTGGACGGCGGCATGGAGGTGTCCCACCCGGCGATCCAGTCGCTGAACGCCAGCGTGCAGTCCTGCTCGCCATGCACGGTGGCCATTCTCGTCGACCGGAGCCTCGGCAGCGGCGGCACCTTGCCGGGTGGAGCCGGCGGGTATCGCGTGGCGGCGCTCTTCTTCGGCGGGCGCGACGACCGCGAGGTGGTGGCCCTGGCCACCCGCATGGCGCGCAACCCGGCCGTCGACCTCACCGTGATGCGCTTCGTCCAGAAGGGCAGGGCCGGCAGCATGACCTCGAGCGAGTTCGACGCCCTCAAGGAGCGCAAGGCCGACGACTGGTGCATGCGGGAGTTCCTGGAGCGAGCCAACGCCGGCGGTGGGGGCGTGGACTACTGCGAGAGGGGGGTGTTCAACGCGAGCGAGATGGTGGCGGAGATACGGAACGTGGAGGCGGCCGGGAAGGACCTTTTCTTGGTGAGCAGGACGCCGGGGGCGACGGGACTGACGGCCGGGATGTCGGACTGGAGCGAGTGCCCGGAGCTGGGGCCGATCGGGGACCTGCTTGTGTCCAAGGACTTCCAGACCAAGGCGTCCGTGCTGGTGGTGCAGTCCTACGGGAGGGCGGCGGCGTCGTCGGCGTCGGCGTCTTCCGAATTTGCTGTTGGCGAGGCCGTCTTGCCGGCGCCAGAGGCCATCATGCCGGCGACCTCCATGGGGCACCCGCCAAGGCGCCCACGACAACATTCACATTCTGACATTATGCTTTGATAGTATAGTTTGGTAATGCTTGCTAGCACATTGATTAATTAATTAGGGAGCGCCTAATTTTTGCAGGGGGATTAGGAAGTGTCTAATGATCAGTCGACTGATGTTAATTTGAGTGACAGTCAAACATTTAATCTAGTCAGAAGCGTGCACGTCTACTAGCTTAGCTTTGTTAACAGCGATTTCTTCATACTCCCAACGGAAACTTTGATTCACATATAAGATTTTTTTTTGACAATTGATTCACATATAAGATTACTATAAGGGTGTAAATAAGTCTCAGTCGATTGAGATTTAATCAAGTCTCAGTCAAGTAACATAATATGTAAAAAAGAAAAAAAAAGAAAAACTGAAAATAAAAATTTGCACGGATCTTAATATAACATCTCACGGATATAGTATCAACTGAGACATAATAAAGTCTTAATCAACTGAGATTTAGCAAGACTGTTACTATAACATGCCTCCAAAACCAGCCTCTCTCCATTTGGCTAATTAATGGAAGAAAGAGGCACACCCGCCAAGACACTGTCCGAGCAGAAAAAAAAAGGCAAACATTTTTTAAGAATCTTTAGCACATTTTCTCAACAACAACAAAAAAAAACTTTACCACATGCTACCAAAGTAAGAAAACATTACATATTACACATTCTTCTAATATCCAAGGAGAGCAAGGGCCGGAAATGTCTCAAGAAAATTCCATGGTGAGATAATTGGGCCGACTTAAAAATTATTTGATTTTTTTTTAACATTGCAGATTTGAAGCCTTATTTGGGTGAGGAAGATGAGTTTCCGTCGAGGACGACTTTATTTCAAGAAGGGGAGGATGATGAGGACATCAATACCATTGTTACACCCACAGCCCCTACTGCTACATATACGGGACCAATTACTAGAGCTCGCGCACGCCAATTAAATTATCAGGTACTTTCGTTTCTTGGTAATGATTCTAATGTTCATGAGAATATGATGATGCCTAAATTGGATACATTTGTTTTGCTTACAAATGAAGGGCCTAGCTTGGAGAAGGATGAACATTGGAGCAAGAACAAGCATGGAGATGATGCCATGCGCAAGGGGAACAAGAACGGAGTTACAAGTGATGATTTCAGGACTTTGAAACCACCATAATGGGTGCATGAAGCCTTGGACGAAATATACAAGATGCCACTTCATAAATTTCATCCCGAGGCTATTTTAGGTGCTGCGTCACTTTATTATTGGGCCAGGCCCATGTAATTGCAGATCGACAAAGCTTCCGAACAATGTAGGAAAGTAAGGTACGCCAAATGTAGATGAACAATTCCAACAATGTTGTGGTCACTACTGGAATCGCCTGATGTGTCGAGTGCCTGGGATAGTTGACTACAACCCTAAGAAACTCGGGAAAGTCTTTGCCAAGAATAGTTCTCGACAAAGCATACTCGGCGTACACCCCTCGGGCAAATCTTTGCCGAGAATCATCCGTCGGGCTCTAGGCATAATTATGTCCGAGTATACTAGGGACACTCTCGGCAAAAAAAAGAAAAATGAGTTCACGTCCGGCAGTTGAGGATGGCATCGCCAGGCCTTTGCCGAGAGCCAAGGGAGAACTCGGCAAACACTTTCCTAGTTGCCGAGCACCAACTCTCGGCTTAACTGGCACCAGCACCTCCTCAGGAGCTGCCACATATGTCACCTTTTGCTGAAGTTGCCATCAAGATCTCGGCTTATAGACACCAACAACTCCTTAGGTGCTCCCTTTTGCCGAGCTCCTTCCCTGAGTTCTCGGCAAAGAGTCAACCAAGCTGTCAACGCATGCCACATGTCCTTTTTGCTGAGAGCAACACTTGGAAACGACCTGTTTGTTGAAAACGACATTGTTAGCCTGGTTTCTAATTATTTTTCATATAACCCTACACCAAAAACAGATATAACAGAAATATCCACCAAGATTCACGTTATGAAGCTTGTATACTCTATAAAGATCACATACATAACAACAAACTCGCGAAAGCATCATATATAGTACACACAAGTTTCACATGAAGTCACAAAATAGTTACTTAGCACTAGCGCCTCCTCACTAAACAACAAAATGGCAAATGCATATTACATACTCCCTCCGTTTCAAAATACTTGACTTCCATTTGTCCAAAAATGAATGTATCTATGTACTAAAATATGTCTAGATACACCTATATTTTGAGAAATGGAAGGCATGTATTGTGGCACGGAGGGAGTACGATCACATGATAAAAGCAACATCATAATTAGGACGAACTGGAATAGAATTATCAAGTTCTTGAATCCACTCAACCCTATAAGCTGGCCTGCACCTTTGCCAAATTCATGATTACTCTCCTCATTGAGCGCATACTTGGAATAATGATTCTCTGCCTCCTCCCTATTGTTGAACAAATCGAAGGAGCTAACTTTGTAATGAATCACTTGTTCATTGGATGTGGCCATGAATCGTACACTCCTGGACACCTACATCTGTACACCACATACCGTTTCATCTACAAAGAAAAAGAAAAAGATTTCAATCAATGCAAGTTAAAAATAACATATGTGACAGTCACTAAGCATTCATCACTCATATACCAAAAAGCATCACTAGTGCTAATCCAAGTCAACAACTACATCACTAAATTAAGGTTAAACTATCTAGGTAGACTACTCCGAGTTGTAGTCCGTGAAGCCAGTGATCGTGGAGGCGGAGCTGGTGGGCCCCCACAGTGGAAGAGTAAGAGTTGTCGGGAATGGCGGTCGGCGGACCATAGAATTTTATTGTTACTTATAGTATGTGACAAAAAAAACTGTTTCTACATGGCATTTTTATTATTTAGGTAATTTTATTTTTGTTGTTAAGAGCATAGCAGTTTTTTAAGAGCTTGGCATATATTTTAATTCGTGAATCATGGTAATTTGTTTTTTGTGTGGTTATTTGTTTTGAAAAAGAAAATACATAGTAAGGAAAAAATTATCATCCAATTTTATTATTTAAGACATGGGGATGGCATTTTCACTATTAAGAGCATGGCAGCATCACATTTCTAATATTAATAGGATGACATTTTTTATATTAAGTGCATGACATTTCTATTGTTAATAGCATGACATTTTCACTATTTAGAGCATGACATTTAACTATTAAGAGCATGACATTTTTTTATTTTAATAGCATGGACTTTTTATATATCAAACCCACGACATTTTTGTAGGATATTTTTGGAAATGTCTGCATGGCAAATTTCTAGATGATTTTTTTTCAAATACGATGATTACAACAAGTTGAAATTCTTCCAACAAGTTGCCATGTGATCAGTTTTACCATTTTTGTGACTAAACTAAAATACATTTTTATCTGTATTATATGTGCTTTTAATTTTGCACGATGGAAAATTCACGTTTTTTTATAATTTAACACACAATGTTCCATTTTTTGTTTTGTTTTTTGGCAGCGTGAAATTTGGGCTTTTTTGTGTGGACCAAACAAAGGCTGGATCTTTTTTTTTGAAACGGAGGCAAAAGATTTGCCTCATCGATTAATTAAGAAGAAGAGAATTGCCTAGTTAATTAACAGAAAACCGGGCGAAACCCGATACATATAGACCACATGCGGACTACTCGCTAAGAAAGAAACCCCCTAACCCCACGGTCAACCCAGCAAACATACATAACGCGCAACACCAAATCCACGGAGACGAGCCAATCCGAGATGGTGGTCGAAGAGATTGAGAATCATCCATTAAGCAGCCACGGACACCTTACCAAGGGCGTCACTCTTCTTGCCTATGCTCCTAAGAGCCTTCTTCACCTTCTTGATTTTGCACGTAGAAGATTCCTCCACTAGAAGGCAAGCAATCGTCTTGCCAGACCCAGGGCTAGCTGCCTCCAAGGAGGCAAGCAAGCCGCCAAGCTTCTTCTTGAATACCACCTCGTCAATACGTGCCAGCATATCTTCACGGTCAAAGACGGGCGGGCGGATGGACTTCGGCGCCTCAGAATGAGGTGCCAAAGCACCTACAGCATCAACCTCGACACCGACAGACGCGACCTTGTCCCTCGCAGACACCGCCATAAGAACATCATCAGCCATGGGTACCACCGACACGATGGACTCTTGCGCCTCCAGTTGCCCACATGGCAGAGGTGAACCATGTAGTTGCGCCTCAAAATTAGGTGCCAAAGCACCTACCTCATCAACCTCGTCACCTACAGACATCACATGCACCATCTCCTTCGGAAGCACCATTGAAAGAGGTGAAGTGGGCTCGCCACAACGCTCCCACAGCTCGGGCATAATCTGCAGCACTGGAGTCACAACCTCGTCGATGACTACACTCCCAGAGACAGACAACAACACAGGCCTCGACGACAGACATGAAGTAGCACGAGGGGAGAAATTTCCATAAAGGCTTGCTTCTTCCCCAACTGAAGATCCAGTCTGAAGCTCAGGCAACGGAAACACAACTGGCACAACCTCAAGTTTGGCAAGGGCGGCCTCCGCTCTCCCTAAAACACTCTCAACTCGCGCAAGGCAGTCAAGAAGCAACTCGGTCTCCTCGGCCAATCCGGGTTTGACATTGAAGACAGGCTGGAACGGCACATCTGATGTGGTGACTTCACTTGTGGGTGCAGGCGATGGAGTAGGACATTGACACGGTGAAGTTTGGTAAACAGGCTTCCTTGCATGGCAGAAGCGGGCGATGTGACCGGATCGAAGACAGTCCATGCATCGGATAGGATCCCTGCAAGAATGTGCACGATGACCTCGACAGAGGCACCAAAAACACCTATCTCTCAGCCATGCCGGAGACGGGCGCCGCATATTGACAGCAGGGCGGCGGAAAACGGCAGAAGTCGGGTGACACCTTCTTGAGACGAGCTGCCAGCCCTCCAACACATTCCCGCATGGAGCGTGACACTCAGGAATTGCCGGCGTCGCCTCACGGTTGAAACATCCTCGCCAATCTCCCCAGGCCGGATGCACAGGAGGCGCCACCTTTTGTCAGTCCCCGCAAACCCTCGCATCAGGCTCCACACACGCCACTGAGGCAGCCCGCGGCGTCTGCGGTGCCAACTCCTCCTCGTCGGTGTCGTCGTCGGTGGCATCAGCGGACATTCCAACCCAGAGGAAGCCAGGAGGGGCTACAGGGGCCTCACCCGGCGGTGAAGGCAGCAACGTCCCGAGGTCCAGGTCGGAGCCCGCACTAGCAGTGACGACGGCCTCCAACCCCCCATCCATCTGGATGGAGGCACGCACCTGCCCGCAAGAGGGGCGCAACGGAGCTTCAGTTGCCAGAACAGTCTGAACGGAGGCGCCGGTGGCCGATGGTGCTGGAGTGGCCGTCGTCATTGCTGGCTTGCGAAGGTGGCCTCGGATGGTCGGGGCGAGGGCTACCACGGCAAGCAGAGCGGCGGGAGCTGGGGCAGCGGGTGGCAAGGTTGGAGCGGCCGCCGATGGTGCCGGAGTGGCCGCCGTCGTCGCGGGCTTCCGGAGGTGGCCTCGGATGGCCGGGCCCGCCCTGCGGAGGGCGAGCGCCGCGGCGGCAAGTTGAGCGGCGAGAGCTGGGGCAGCAGGCGGCGAGGTCGGAGCGGCCGCCGGCCGGGAGGCACACGAGCTCGACTGCATCGGCCAGCGAGGTGGAGGAGCTTGAAGGAGGGGCGATGGAGAGAGGACGCGGTGGAGATCCCAGATCCGGTCGCGGCGGGAGCAGGGGATGCCGGAGGAGGTGGATCTGATAGATGGGTCAGTTTGGATAGATGCCTGGACACCATGCCTGGGAAAATGGGGTGCCTGGATCTAGCCTGAGAAGATGAGAAATATTGGCTGGCCAGGCTGACCTGATGCATATGCGTTTGGCTGGTGTCCATGGCCTGCTGCTGTTTGTCAGAATGAGTTGATGCGCGTCAGAGTGCTTAAAGCATTTAAATACAACCAGGCTGCTACTTTAGCACCTCCAGGCGCACCGAATGGGATGCCTGGGCTAGGCTAAGTACCCTGCCTGGGGTAAGCAACTCCACTTCTTTTCTATTTTCTAATTGAACCAGGCTAACCACACTATTGGGATGACCAGGCCAGGCACGCATCTTCTCTGTGAGGACACCGGACAAACACGTACCAGGCAGAGTCCAGGCAACATCCAGGCCAGGCGTGTGACGATGTGGAAGCGAACCAAACTGACGCGAAGCCAAGAGGGGGTTCGCGCTGGGACCCCAGCGAACCAATTTGTTCGCTTGCTCCCTCAATTCGGGGGAACGAGTCGTTCGATGTGGAAGGCCTCCTGGAAACAATTACCAGATATGGGCATCTAAGAAAAAAGACAATAAAATTATGTCATATATCTCTCCTACTTAAAAAAGATTGTAACGTTCTATTATCTGCTTATCCAATCTTATGTACGCCTCTCCTCTTTTTTAGTTTTTCCTCCCATGTCTGTTTTTTTTTCATCGGGCTTCTCTCAAAATCGCGTTAACTATCCCATCCCTTATTGGCTTACCAAAAAATTATTAAGTTTTCTTTAGTAAGAAAATAAATGTTTATCACATCTTCTCTCAAAATCGTGTTAACTATCTCATCCCTTATTGACTTACCAAAAAAATATTAAGTTTTCTTTAGTAAGAAAATAAATGTTTATCAAATCTTGTCTCAAAATCACGTTAACTATCCCATCCCTTATTGACTTACCAAAAAATATTAAGTTTTCTTTAGTAAGAAAATAAATGCTTATCAAATATTCCCTCTGTCCCATAATATATATTTTTTTGACCCTACACTAGTATAAAAAGTGTTCTTATATTATGGGACCGAGGGAGTAAAAGTTTACCAAATAAAATCCTCCTTTTTTTGTACAGGACTGTGCTAATGATTCCACAGTGGTTTTTCTCGTTTTTGGCTACACAATATGAAAAGAAAATAAAAGTGCTAGAAGGGGGACTCGAACCCGGGTCTATTCAATAGACTTTGAGCTCAAAAACCAACTAAGCCAACTTTAGTTACTGTCTATTGTATATAAACAAGGTTATTTGAACCTTTCTTGTTTCTATCATATCAGCGATAATAATTTTTTTGCTTGGTAATTTTAGAATGACCAGCGTGATAACTATGACTTGAGCAACATGATAACTATACTATGATAAGCCTGATAATTATAATATGAGAAGGTTAATGACTATACCATGAGAAGCACACTAACTTTAGCATGGGGTAGTGGTAACTTCACGCTGGGGTATGTTTCGACAAAAAAAAGTTATCGGGACATGTTTCAGTAACGTTTTTCACATGGGTAAAAAGTTAACAAATGTGTTGTATGTAAGTTATCGGGTGTCTGGTGTGTAAATTACCATGCTATTTGCACTAGGTTATCAGGGCATATTTCTAAAGCTTTTCGTCCAAGGTGAAAAGTTATCAATGCGTTTATATGTAAGTTGTCAGGTTAATTGTTCGTAAGTTATCATCTTATTTAGATAGAAGCTACCGGGGGTATATTTTAACAATTTTTTCACCTCGGATGGTCAAAAAAGTGGAATTTTATTTGAACTTGTCACAAGCCAAGTAGTGGGTGAGTTGGCTAGTGTGTTAAGATCTCACTATTGAAGTCTTGACTTCAATTCTCAGTTTTATCACGACTTTTTAGGCTATAAAACCACAACATGGAAACTAGTAGCATCAAGATTTGTTTTTTTCAACATCTTTTTCTCCCCGAAATTATCGGGCCTGCGATGTGTGACTTATCAAGCTATTCGCACACAAAAAATAACCGAGGGTTATTTCATCAACGTGCCTCCCTCCAGCCGGTCGTCAAATTTACTAAGACCTAGGTACATAAGTCATCAGTAACTTGGCTCCTAAGGGCATCTACAATGGTACTATCTTATCGGTGCCACTTAAAATAGATATTGAGGTGGAGAGAAAATAAACCATACAAATAAGTGTTGCCTCCTCTTAATTAGGAGATTACCTCTTAGCAACAAATTGCTAGAGAAAAGAAACATATCTTTTGTCATTTCTAAATTACGTGCCAGGATTAATATAAGACATTAAGACTGTCTTATTGTACATGAGCTAACTATATCTAATATGTTTTTTCTAATCTTTCTTGCCCCTACATTGCAAACATCACTAATTAGTTAAGTTGCTCCAATAAAACAGAGCACTCACCCGAAAAATACACATTCTTGGCTTGACAAAAGATGCATTCAACAAAGCGATTGCAAGCAGAGACGTCACTTTTTAGTTAACACAAACAAATATCCTTCACCGACGATAACATGCTATTGTTATCGAACTAACAATATATGAAAACGCCTCCCTATTAGCAACGGATGATCGATGTATATCCTCGCATAGTAAATGTGAGCATCTTGATGAACCTAAGATCTGTGCAACATTCCCTGGCAGAGTTCAGGCGAAGGTAACAATAGGCTTGAAGCTGAAAGTTATGCTAAACGAGTCTGGGACCCTGCATAGTCCTACCACGGGAATTCAAGAACTCTGCAAACTTGGCGTCTCTATCGGCATCGAAATAGATGCAATCCTCCTCACATACCTCTACAGAAGAATCAATTATAAACTCGCCATCACTGATAGAATCTTCAGTCGTCGTGCTACTGCGGTCATCGCGAGCCATGCGCTCAAAGTCAGTGTCACGCCCAATATACTTCTCTAGATCTGGATGTACAATCTTTGCACCTTCTTTCTCACAGTAATAACAACGGCCTTTTTCCACAAAAAGAAGAAAAGCAATCATCAGTTCAAGCAATGAGAAAAATATCTGTGTGAAGAAAAGATTATCATCACTTCATAGCCTACACTAAGATAAGAAGAAATAGAAAAGGGTAAATCCCTAACAACACCATATAGCTAAAGTGCAGACAACCACATGTACACAAGAACACTGGTTAGTGGCATGTATAAAATGTGTTCAAGCCTAGCAATTCGGAGCATGCTCAGAATGTTTCTTGCAAAGATGAAGCTCTAAAAGACTAATTTATTCATATGTTGTTCTCAGATAACATCAGCTATCTGTGCCATGTTACATTTGACGATAAATTCAAGGACAGTGGCAATTTGGATGAGTTTCTACGGACTTGAGTGAAACACTGCCAGGGGTGTTTGGACTCCTGGTAGTGTTAGTGCCAGAATGTTATTACTTATTACTCCCTTCGTTCCTAAATATAAGTCTTTGTAGAGATTTCACTATGGACCACATACGGATGTATCTAGATGCATTTTAGAGTATAAATTCACTCATTTTGCTTCGTATGTGGTTCATAGTGAAATCTCTCCAAAGACTTGTATTTAGGAACGGAAGGAGTAGATCAGTAGTATTTTAATGGTGAGGTGTCTTTTCTCACATTATTGCTGTGGCAACCATTTGCATAGTTGTGCATACAAAGACTTAACAGAAGTTCTATCCAGGTCAGATGCCTTATTATATCCCTTTTTTACTTCTTTTTTTTTATCATAAAAAGGGCCTTCCCCTCCGGATTTCATTAAAGAAAACCATCTGGTTCAGACATCCCTTTTTTCCTTGACGCCATATATTTTTAGTAAAAGGTCACATTTGGTTAACAGAAGACATTGTCAAAAGGATTAAAGGAACATATGTAACAAGCTAATAGCATATGTTTTGATGAACACATGGCGTAGATTATTCAAATGGAGAGAAAGTTTATATACCAGGATGTCCCGTGACCGGCCAACATGACTGTTCATCGACGGCATCTTCATCGTTGGAGCATTCAGCAAAGAACAGTATAGGAACTGTGTCAGAAGAATGCAAATCTCTCGGCCTTGCCAAAAAGTTGATGTGAGAATGCTGAGTT